TTTGAATATTACCGTAGTTCTTCAAGGAACTTTATAAACACAAATATCAGGGGGCTTTATAAACAATCTATGTATGATTAAACTATTTCACCCCTCCTTTCTATAGTACACTTGTATATTAACTACTTTTCTCACAGTCCATTATAACCTTTAAATTGTCTCATTATTGAGCAAGTCAACTCTTGCAATCTGATAATACTGGTAATCTCCATTTAAGTGAGTACAATACACGTAGGTTGCTCTGATAATTCCCTTCCATGTTACAGGCTTGTCAATACATTAGGGACTCAATTTCTCTCTCAATTTGTTTTGATGAATGCTCCTTTATATCTACTCGATCTTTGTACATGAGGTGTAACTACAAATTATGATTTATTTTCTTATAATTCCAGTCACACATGAAAAAGCCTGAAAATCATTCATTGTTATCTGTGTTATGTACACATGCCTACATCACCTAGTCCTTTATGCTTCATTCTTATCATTTCTCATGTGTACTCTGTGTCCTCTCCCTCAGCACTCTTTCACTGTTTCAGATAATTGGAAAAATATGTTCTCATGTTACTAATGATTTACTTTTGTTACATTTGATCAATAGGTATTAGAAAATATTTTTTCTTTCATCAAATAATTTTTAAATGAACCTCTTATAGTTATGTGCTTCACTCCCCCCTACCATGACCCTCAGTGGGTGTCAAAAAATTGACCAAGTCATTGTGCATTTCTTTCATCAACATCAGAACTTACAATATTTACTGAGAATCTGCATTTGGCTGTAGATCTCAGTCACTTGCACTGATTACTTCCAAACAATATTTATTTCATATACTGTACAGTATAAAGTGCAGACATCTTATTTTTATTATAATGGATGACTTAACTTGTCAACATTTTAGAACAAAGGCTGTACTGTATTCTAAACATGTTCCTTCTTACCTGGTATTTCTTTGTTGATGTTAGCAGGGTCTTTGAAAATGAATATAGAGGTTATGCATTAGCTATGCATCAAACTACACAGTGTATTGCATATCAGCATCTCCATGGCAAATTTTCGTTAATGCTTTGGTAAGCATGCATCATTTTAATTTGGAGATCCCTATCCACACTGCTTTGAGTTTTTGTATTATTTTGAGTTAGTTATTAGCAAAACAAATGGTGTAAAGTATTGATCCTCCAATCCCTTTGTGTAAGTGAGATGGACTGATAGACTCATGTTATGCAGCCAGTTAAGTCTGCAGAGTTAAAATCCATTGAACCCCCATAAATTCCAGTTAGGACTAGTGAAAAGATTAACTTTGCCCCATCCCCCCTCTTCTTCACCTACAACTAGAACCCTGAGGGGGCATTCTCTCTGAAATAGAAGTTGCCATTTGAAGCAGTAGGCAAATGCATTTATAGCTTCACATCAGTGTGCATCATGTTCTCTCCTGTTCAGTTACAACCATGGATTCTAGTAAAGCCCCAGCCTCCAGTGCCAGCCATCTTGCAGTAAATCTCAGAGTCGGATACTAAATGTGATTTCAGAATCCACCTACTATTTATAACCTGATGACCTCACTAAGTGATTTGTGTAATTTGAAGCTAGACTGATTTGGGAGGAGATGAAAAATTAATGTTAACTGCTTCATGAAGTACAGTACACCTCACAAGGGAAGATGAATTAAATAGCCAAAGTCAGGTAAAACACACCTTACAGACCTCCCAAGCAGTTAAAATATTTTGGCCATCATTTCTCAGAGGAATGAGCTGGGTAATGTTGATTTGATAAATGTAATGATTTATAATCATTTAAATACTGTACTGTACTAACTTTAGAAGCTCTATGATTTGGAATTCAGACATTTTTATGGAGGGATCCTACACAGTCCACTGGCCTCCTTCCCTTGATATGGCCACCTCTAGTGGGTGACCATTAGGTAAATAAGGTAAAATGCATTTAGATCTAAGATTTAGCCTTTCTTTGATAAAAAATTTAGGCATAGTGTAAGTGTGAGTACGCTTAGAGAAGGGCCAAAAGAAATGAAACCAGAGCCTCCTTTGATTGAAGGAATGTCTGAAATTCTTCTTGATGAAGCCAAGCCCAAAAGAAAAATGTTTTTTATTGAAGCCAACTCAGTATCTTGCCTCATGAAGTTCCCAGTATAATCCACAAGCTTAAGAATAGCCCCTAACAACCGACTAGTACAGTATACATAATTTTCATTGGATGTTTCAGAAAGAAAGATCTAAAGGAATCCGTGGCAGATGCCTCCTTTAGCAGTCTCGCTAGAGCACATTTATATGCAGCTAAAACATTAGCAGGCAATTTGTGTTTCTGAAGTTTTTTAAAAAAGAAAATCCATCACCAAGGAGGCTCAATTACAATTTGACTCCACTTACCTCATATACGCATGAAAATGTTCTCAAGAAGATTCAGTTTGCCTTTTAGAGGAATATGGGAACCCACTAGAAAACTTTAAATACTATGAGAAAATACATCTTAGAAAATCCAAATCTGAAGCTTGTAAAATAGAGAAAATAGACAAGAAACTCAGATTCTTTATGCTCCAACACAATAAAGTTCATTTTAGCATGTTATTGATAGGATGGTTACATCTATATGTCCATTGGGGGCATGTGGCTTATCTTTCTGCATGCATTGAGGGACGTTGAGTCTCCTCGACTTTCTTGAATGAAAACTGTGAACTCTAAAATTAAATCTGTATTATTGAAGATACTATTAAAAAATATATTTTGCTTTCTACTAGGCATGCAATGCGTGCCTTGCATTCATTAAGAATATGCCACTGATGCCAAGTTATTCAGGAAAATTAAGAAGCAAACAGACTGTGAAGAGCTGCAGAAAGATCGCTGTGAGCTTTAGGAGTGGTTGAAGAAATGGCTGTCAAGATTCCATGTCACAAAGTGTACAAGAATTCACTTGGGTCGTACCAAATGTAAGGAGGTGTATCATATGTCCCAATGGGACAAAGAAACTGCATTAATAGAGAACCGAATGCAAAAAGGACCTGGGTGTGTTGTTGAAAATGAACTGAAGTTCTTGGGCCATTGTGAGAAGGTGAATCAAGTAACTAAACTAGTAGGTCATATGAGAAGGTCGTTCAGATATCTAGAAGGTCCGTCCCTGGTAACAATCTTCAAGAGTACCTGTACTGTCACCCCGTCTGGTCCCCGAGATATGTTGTCCCAGTCAATTGACTGAAAATGTCCAAAGGAGGGTTACCAGACTGGTGCCTGCACTCCAGCACCTCAGTTATCTAGAGAGATTAGGGCACCTGCAACTGCCTAGCTTATACTGTACCTAATTAAGGTACAGAAATATCCCAAAGGGCACTACTCAGTCAAGTGTCTATACTTGGAGTTGGCGGACGCTGCTCCACAAGGGGTCACAGCTCAAGGTTGGAAAGCCACTATTCCAGAAAACTGTGAGGGCAATTTTTTTTGGAAATGAAAATTGTGAATTCTTGGAGCAACCTGCCAGAGAGTGTTGTGATGGCACCGAGTGTGAGCTCTTTCAAGACCAGACTTGACCAACACTGAAGCAGGTTCAAATACATTCAGGAGCCAGGGCATGTCCAGTACAGTACTTGCCAACTTTGTATTTGAAGACTAAGAGATGGCATTTGACAGTGTACCATATGAGAGTAAAGTGGGCAATGAGTACGGTAAGCTTTGTATTAAGGGGTGTTTTGTTCAAGTGGTTATGAAATTAAATTATGGCTCAAAAACTGCTGTGAGAGCAAATGGAAAGGAAAGTGAGGAATTTAAGGTGAAAGTACAGTAGGCATCTATCAAGGGTCTGCCATGAGAGTTCTGTTTTTCATGGTGTTAGAGGCACTTTCGTCGGATATTAGGATTGGTCTTCCCGGGGAGTTGTATGTTGATGACTCGGATCAATCTTACCAATACACAGGTCCCCTAAAGGATTCCTATGAATTCTGTTATTAAAAAGAAGAGGGCGCAAGTAACCCCTAAAAAGTTTTCAGTGCAATCCCATGTCCAGAACTGCAAATTTCAGAAAGTCCTAGAGAGTATGATCCTGATTCTTATTTCAGATACAGAAGATGAGCCCTTCATAAATAGGCCAGATATTCATATCTTATAAAAAGTCTGAATTACTTACTGTGGAATCAATTTACATTTTGACATAGGAGTCAAAGTTAGTTCCACATACCAACTTGTCAGTGGGAGCTTTGCAAAATACTTATGCACATTTCTACCCATCACTTAGAGCTGATGTATTCAGTTCAGAACTTCGTTACTGAGACTGAAGGCTGGATTATTATTGGAGTCCAAGACTGTGACCAAACAGGATAGACTGATGCACACTGCTAAACTGACTTTTCAACCATATGTTCCTTCTGCTTTAAATGAAAACTCATGATTTTGAGAGAACCCCTCAAGGTTCTGGTTGCAGAAGGTAAAATTAATCCATTTAATTAATCCCAAACTCCATTTAAGGAGATTAAATTAGTTCTTACCCCAAAGACTTTGCTGGTTGGATAATACAAGTGATGCAGGGAGGTCTTCAGTTTATAACTCTGCTTTTATTATTTGTTTAAGGAATGTTCTGTTTTGTCACTAAATTATTGTATTCTCATATAAATTTTCTGATCTGTTTATGTTTTAACCAATCCTCATTAGTTTAAATGGGGACACCCTGTACAGGTATAAGTTATTCATTGAATATGCATATCACTAGTTTGCAAGTACCCTGTATATGGGATACATGCCATTTATTTAAGTTAGATATGGGATGGAAATACATTATTTCTCTAGTCTTAAGTGAGTTAGGTTGTAATGAATATCTTCTTATTTATCATCTCCATCATATAAAGATCACTACACAATATCTTGCAATGTTGCAATTACAGCTATTATTGAATTTTTTCACCTCAGTATTTTTAGATTGTCTTTATAATTGAACCATTAATATCCCATTAGCCATGTCAAATATGCATGTACATACAAGGGGTGATGAGATATGGGTTGTGTTACAGCACTCGGTCCTGGAGCTGGGTGGTGTTGGTTCTTCGCACACCACCTCCACCCTTGGGTCTTCCAGTGATGATGTGTTTAAGGAAGAAGATGAGGATGAGGAGGAGGAGGAGGAGGAAGAGGAGGATGAGGATCAGCAGCAGCAGGAAGAAGAGGCTAAGGCTAGGCTCATTGTATAGGGAGTGGTAGAAGATCACAGACCAGAGGGACAAAAATGGTAGAAGAGAGGCAAAAGGGCAGAAGCAGTGATATCAAAAACACTGTCCTCAAGTGAAACAAAATAATTTTAAGCATGCAGAAGAGAAACTCCTGTTACATGCTTAACATTTCATGGGACAGCTACTATCATGTACAAATTGCTTCAAAATTGTTTTTGACACATAAAGATAAATGAATTTGATAAAACTTTTAAATATGAACATTGTTGAACTATACTATAGCCAAAATTATTATACAACTTCTTTCAAAAATTAAAGTACTGTATGTAGCTGAAGGTAAGCAGTTTATTTCCAGAGAACTTTATGTCAATCAAAATAATGGTATTGGATGTTGTTATACAGTAGTACTGTATATCAAAGTTCTGGACTTCTTTCCTACAAATGTGTAGCAATAAATGCTATAAAGCTACCGAGTATATAAATTATTGTTTTATATATATATATATATATATATATATATATATATATATATATATATATATATATATATATATATATATATATATATATATATATATATATATATATACACTGTATTATTATTTTTTTCATTTAAAGATGATGTAAGAAAGAAATTTACTTACAACTACGAAGCTGAAATTTTTCTATGAGTATAATAATGGTGATCTTTTAATTTTTTATTTCTTAAGGATACTATGGAAATCCTAAGCATTTCTCACGATGGCATTTAGGTCCGTAATTTCATACTTTTCAACTTAATTAAAAGTTGAAATTTCTGTAAGAATTTTTATAATGTATTGAAGTACAGTATGTGAAACATCTGCAGTAAACATTAAAGATTTCTACAGTATTAGTGCCAGGAATAATATATAAGGAATGTTCGATACAAATTTGTACCGTGTATTAGAGGTTCCCTATCATTTAAGACTTTAATATACATTGGCCCTCTTTCTCAAGTAAATATAATTACAGTATAGCTGAAGGATTTGAATCATGATCATAATACTGCAGTAAAAAAAAATAAGTATGAAATACTAAAATTAAAATACCACAATAACTAAATTTGTATAAGGAACTATACACTGAACTTACTGACAATAACATTATGAGGGAAAATAGTCTTCATTCAGCTGCTGTCAATTAAAATAGATAATAGGTAGAATAGATGTGCCAAATTAATTGTGATACTGTAGATCTTCCTAATTTCATCCAGGTAAATGAGAAAACTAATTGCTCTTCCATTCTCAAAATTTTGAAGCCTTTTAGAGGAATAATAGAAATGCAAGTTTTAGAAAATACTGTAAATTTTGTTTGATTAGATTCAGAACTGATAAAGTAGGCAAATAAAAGACTTAGAGTGTATAGTCAAGTGAAAGGCACTTAAACAAGGCTTCAACTTTTCCCTTTTTGGCTACTTAGAATGCAAAACATTAAGATCAAAACTGGCAAAAATAGTCTGAAAATCTTACAAACAATGCAACGATTTAGGGACGAACTGTGCGTACCTGCAATATAATATTACAGAAAGTGTACAGGCAAGATAGTTAACATTTCCCGCATCTTAAGAAATCATGTTTCTTCTATTTAGACATAAAATATATTTAACACAACTATTTTAACTTTTGATAGAAACTATCTTGTCAGAACAGCTTTCGGAGTACCAATCATCAAAACTTTTGAGTTTTCCATATTTTTATGTAAAAGCCTGATGACTGCTATCCAGTGGTTTTTACATAGGAGTAAGAGTTTCTCGGAGGTACGAAAGGTCAATACATATCGAGAATATACAGTATATAATGCTTTTCTCAGTATTTTCAATAAAAGCAATATCATTTTGCAATTATTTGCTCGTGAAATGCATAAACATTATTGGATATTCATAATTATTAATATAAATATAATATACACCTAGGATTTTGTTCCAACCATCAAATTTATCTCCAAATATCTTCTTTGGAGACTGACCAAATATGAAACTTTATAGATTATATTGGATATTGTAAGATTTACAACAGTTCAAGGCTCACAAAGCTCCAGATTCCATCATGCTTGATGGTATCTGAAGGAGATGGGGCATGGAGGCATTAATTATCAGTCTCTCATCAGGTAAAACTTACATGGGTTAGTGCACATGCATGTAACCCCTCTCAAAACATGAGTGAAAATGCCTGACATTCCCCAAATCCTTCTTCTAATAATTCTTATTAATCTCGCGGGTGACCAACTAGATGTTATCTACAATAAATCTTGACATATGAGTGTGGGTCTCAAAGCTTTTCTCTTAGATTTAAGAAGATTGTTGTTTGTGTTCTGAAGTAGAACTGGGGTCATATTGAGACAAAAACAAGCACTGCATCAATTAATCACACTACTTGGTGACCCTATAGTTAATCAAATATTAACAGATGCTAGTTGTTCCTAACTTTCCACTACCCCCTTAGCAGCCAACCATAGTACCTGTAGACAATGTAGCAATCATATTACATAAATAGACTGCCTCAAATACATAATCACTTTTTATTAATCTTTGTAGAACCTATGAATTGAATGTATCAGTGATGTAGAGCACTCAAGCACCAATTTACATCAAGGACTATTTCAGAATTTGTGCTACAGTCTTCTATGAGCATGCTAACAGACGGACCAGTCAGAAAGTTCCAATACAGACCATACAATTCCAATAGAGAATAACTTAAAGCTTTGAACAAACTCTAGAACCACACATTTCGGTATACTATCTAAGTTTTGGTATAAATGATTTCTGTCTATGTTGCTGAAAATCTGAGTTATTTAAAAGTTTATTATGTGTGATGACGAATAAAAATCATATTTGTTTTGTTGGAGGATATGTTGAATGAGATCCTCTGAAAACTATGTTATTCCTTGAGTGAAAAAAGGATAAACATTGCTTGAGTTTAGCCAGACTTAATCAACACCTGAACAAGTCAACACCACAGTCAGTAAACATATGACAAGGAGGAGGTTCACCTTATGCCCACTTCATTTTCATGTATAGGGGGACCCTTCAACAAGTCAGTCTGTGGTTATTTTGTTTATAAATATCTTGATATGTGAGAACATCACATATTTTGTATACAATGAATAATTTCTCTGGAAGCTTACTCTCCTACTCTAATCATCCAGGAGAACAGCCCTATTGAAATTGTTCACTTTATCCAAATATTTAATTTCTTCATATATTAAAGCTCAAAGGAAAATATACATTATGATATCCTCCAGTTCACAATTCATCTGTTTATTTTAGACGAAACCTTGAGTGGCCTCGGTACCATGGGCTCAGCCGGTGCCAGGAATGGGTTTGGTGGTTATAATAGGTTACATTATAGGTATTTTGTTGTTGGTCGTCCGCGCCATCAATATTTTACCCAATGGTTAACTGCTTGTAATTGATATAATACGTTCTTACAAAAGCCAGGAGGTCCATTAAAGGTGTGTCTTGTGACAGATTTTTGGGGGCCTTATATTTAGTCCATTTGCTACATCTCTGGATAAAAGATATTATGGCATATATGCTGAATTTTGCAGTTCAATTCATTGGGTGAAATGGTGATGAAAGACCATATAACATAATAGATGTTTAAGGGCAAGTACATTCATGTGTAATATATTCCCTTATCTGTAGACAATCCTAATATAGATGTAAAAGCTATGTATTAAGTGTGCCAAAATGTTTAGTTGTCAGTTAATGATGTTCTAATGTGCCGACTATCTTGTATACACCCTCGCTTTATAGTCAAAGAGTTCATTGTACTTTACGTCACAAGTTCTCGGCGCCCAAGTGTATGTTCCATGTGGCAATATAATGACTATTTGTCTGTTTCATGTAGTATATGTTCTAGACTACAATAATGATTTTAATATTACTCCAATCGTTACCTCAAGATACTGGCAACAGGCTTGTGGTAGATCCGTATCAGTAATTAAGGATGGTTGGCAGGAATTTTTCCGATTTTTTTGGGTATGTTCGAAGTGGTTTAAGGTTAGGAGATTTGTGAATATACAAGTTCACGGCCTTCTTCCCCATGCGCTTATAATACAAGTTCAAAGGCCTGAATTTTTAAATGTCACTTGGTTAATAGTTAAGGAAATGGTACTAGCACTGTGTTAACCCTTCAAGTTGCAAAATATCTGCACTTCTAATATTTGCATAATTGTACGGGACAGTTGCTTACGTACTAACTTTTGCATAAGTACTGACTTAAAACTCAGTAATGTTTAAGAATTGGGGCCAAAGTCTTCAGCTCATTCCTGCTCATGGAGACTCACCCACTTCCTGAGAGTTGAGTTTGGGTTGGATTTTGAGCGAAGACAAGTGAACTATTCTAGTTTTCTTCAGGATTTTATGAAAGTTAACAGGGTTGACGCTTGACAGATGGAACTACTGTATAGCGCTCTGCGCATAATGAATACACAGTCAACTGTATTGTCAAGTCTTGTAAAGAATTGTGACTATGATGTTTGTTACGCTGAGAAGGTTATGCAAGATCATAATACCTAAGGAAAGAGCATCACAAAAAATACAACAGGAAGACTTACGACTCCCAATTTTGTCTTGAATGCAGTTGGTCATGGAGGTATTACTCTCCAGCCCCTCATTCTCTCAGGCTGTGCTAGGGCCACACGATATGCATTAACTGTCCTGTTTGTGTTTGGTTGCTAATGTAACCAGCTGGTGACAGTATATCCAGCTAAACCAAAGGACATTGGACAGTGATGCTTTGAGACTTCCAGCCGTTATGTGGGACACCCAGAAGCACAAAAGGATGTCGAACAATGGTTGACAGTCCAAAATGCAAGTACCCTACATTTGGATTATCAACTCAGTGGATGCATAAATAAAGGAATACATGTTTGTAAAGAGTGAGTTAGAATCAGACATCATAGTGGGTAAATGGCAAAAAATGAGTAAGAGAATAAGAAAGGTTGAGATAGACTCCGTTGTACATCAGTGTTGTCGAGTCATGTTGTCCCCCGTACATACAAGTACAATATTCAACCATTTCGTGCTATGTCCTGTTTTATTATCCTTCATGTAACTAGTTTCATTGTGCTATAAATTACATAAGATTATAAGAAAGGCATTTCCGTCAAGGTTCTGCACTCCAAGAGAAAACTTCTGCTTCCTTTGAACTTGAGTATCTTCTTTAAATGGAAAGTTTCTTGCTATATAGTACAGTATATGGATAACCTAAGCAAAATATTCTAAAGATCATTGATAGATTCTATACTGCAGGAGTTTTACATCATGTTATAATTGTGGCTTTAAGAGGTTACGATTTCAAACAGGAACCATTGAAGGAGATATTATTGCAAGGGACAAGTACTGTACCTGTGCCTGTACCTGTGCAAACAAAAGCTATTAGCCATGCAAGTAAGGTGTTAAGGAGAGTGCTAACTCCTTCATTGGTGATATTTAAATCTATAATACTGAAAATTCCCCATTTCTTCTTTGACGACAATGTCAATGCTCAATTCATTTGTTCCCATCATACATTAGACTCAACCTTACCAATTTCTCAAGTGACAACTTCATCCAAGACCTATTACAGATACTGTAGTACATGAATTGCCTGTGAAGGATGGTTGGCTATAAATAAAGGACTTATCTTGATATTTAATTTTATGGCAGAGCCTGGAACTAAGTGATTCAGAACCTTCTTTCTTCCCATGTATTGGTGTGGAAGTCTTCTGGAAATGAGTAAGGTTGTAGCTTGGAGGAACCATATGACCAAATCAGAGAAGGATAAAAACAGAGGTTTCTAATTATGGTAATGTATATCCTTACCACCTTTTAGGGCTATTATTAGTTTTGGGGAGAGTTACTAATTATTTTTATCAGTCTTGGGCTGACAACTTAGTGAGCACTTATTCCCAAGCTGCATAGTTTCAGGCTCTACCATAAAATAGAAATTCAGTGTTAATCCTTTTTATATTATTTTAAATACTTTTTACAGGCAGTCCCCAAGCCACGAACGGGTTATGTTTCTGGACCCTGTTCGTAATTTTAAGTTTGTAAGTCAGAACAGTGTTAATTCCATAAGTTAGGTTAAAACACATCCCTGCCCATACATAACAAATAATGTGAATACTGTAAATAAAATCATGCTAAATATATTTAAAGTAATGTAAAGAAATGAAATTTTAATTACTGATTTGTGTGATGAATATACAGTATTGGGATCCCATTCATAAGTACTGGTTCTGTTCATTAGTACAGGTTGGGCATTTGTAACTCAGGGACTGCCTGTATTGTACTATGTAAAAGTGTTTATGCTACAACATTAAGTAAGTATACTACAGTATAAATACTGTGTACCTGCTTGTTACTTACTTTTTTTATTGTCCATCTAAGGCAGTATAAAACTCATGTGATTGAACCTGCCATTTGCGATATACAGTACAGGTATATTTGGCTTAGGAGAATTTGCATCAGACTAAATAATGTACCTGTAGATCAATATCTGGCAGTCATAATAATTTGTGCATCACCTTTGTACATTTGAAGGCCTCAATCCAATAATATGCATCAAATTCAGATACTATAATTTACTACCTGTATTATTATTATAAAGAAGGAAGTTTTTTTTACCGCCTTTGAACCACATAAATTAGAATGGGTTTTCATCATCATCATCCTTTTTTAAGGCTATTTTCCACGCTTGTGTGGGTTAACCAGAGTTACCTGGTGGCAGCTCTCCATTCTGCACAGTTTCTTACAGTTTCCTCACTCTGATGTAATTTCTTAAACCCTCTCCTCATACTTTTACTTTTATCCTCTTCGCCACTGATCGGCTCGTTAGCCGGTTGGGCGATCGGTCACGTCTCTGATTACTTTTCCTTTTCATTTATCTTCTTCACCAAAAGATCGGCTCGCTAGCCACCCGGGCAATCGGTCACGTCTCTGTCACGCACTGTTGGCAAATACTGGGCATGCACCGGGTCCTGAATGTACCTATTTAGACTCATTCTTCCCACATCCCCGAACCATCTCTCATTCTTCCTTTCACTCGGAAGGAAGGTCCTCTTGTTGTCAGTAAAGGCAGCAGTTCCCTAAACTTATTTCAGTCACTTCTGACTTGCAACTGGGCAGACTTCACCACCCCCTCCAGGCACTGAACATGTCACCCAGGTAACAGTCCAGGGACATAATACCCTGTACTGTACTGTATTCCCAATGTCGAGTTTCTCCAGCCTAGCCGTGGGCACCTCTTGTGTACATTTGTTACAAAAAGAGTCAGCAAAATTTTTTCATAGAAAATATGACACAATGGACGAAGGATTTTGACAACCCTATCAGAACAGGAGTTGCAATGTTCATTTTAACATCAATTGAACCCCATCTTGTAGATACTTTATGTAGCGACTGTACCCACCTTCCACACTCATTGCACATTATTGAGTTGCTGCCTACATCTTTTTTGCCATTTTTCACTTTCCACCATGGTCCCTCACCCAGACTACTAAATACTACTTTTGTTTTTGCAACATTCAATCTCAGGCCCTTTGCCTCTATTTCATCCTCCATTTCTTCAATTTTTCCACTGCCTCTTCAGTACTATCTGCTGAGAGCATACAACAACTCCCATGGTAGGCCAGTCCTAAAGTCCCGTGATAAATAGAAGGGGGCTTAAGACAGATTCCTTATGGACTCCTACTTTTGCTTCAAATTACAGTATACTGTACTCATTCTCCTCCCCATTTACTCTCATAGAATTTTTTTTACTGTTCCATACGTGGCCACGTCTTTTGCTATCTTTATCTTCATGGGGCAAGTGTTAGTACAGGGTAGACAGGAGGGTGAACGGAAATAAAGTTGCAGGAAAAAAAGTCACATGACTTGTAAACATTGACAACACAATACCTGTACAGTATATATATATATATATATATATATATATATATATATATATATATATATATATATATATATATATATATATATATATATATATATATATATATATATATATATATATATATATATATATATATATATATATATATATATATATATACACATACATACATACATATACAACACACCCATTGACAATAATGGATACTGTACAGTATAGTATATATATATATACGTATATCTTTATCTTATAGTGTTATACATAGACAGGATGAACGGAAATAAAGTTAGTATGACTTGTAAACATTCAATATACAGTATATATATATATATATATATATATATATATATATATATATATATATCTACTATATATCTATCTATCTATCATATATATATATATATATATATATATATATATATATATATATATATATATATATATATATATATATATATATATATATATATATATATATATATATATATATATATATATATATATATATATATATATATATATATATATATATATATATATATATATATATATATATATATATACACAGTCAACTCTCGCTTTATGCGGTCACACTTTACGCGTTTCCACGTTTACGCGGTACCCTGCCGAAACCGGAATGCTCACTTTCCGCGGTGTGTGTACCCTTTTACGCGGAGAGCGGCGCGAGCAGGGTGCGCACAAGGTCGCCCAGTCATCAAAACATTACCGAGTTCTTCACCTGCCATCCACCACAGCTGTCCCAAGTCAGTGATAGTGAGGATATGGACTTATATGGACTTTGAGGGGTATGACAAAGAGGCCCTGCAAGCCTCTGTGGTGGATAGTGATACAATTGATACAGGTGAGGGCCAATAATCTGCCCTCTGCCTTGGAACCAACCCCCCATCCCCGTGTGCCCAGCCATCTTTTCTACTAATGTAAGTGTTAAAAAACCTAATATTATTGATATTTCTCTTAATTATTAATTGTGTGTGCATACCATCATAAAATTAAGAAGTTATTTTTACTACAACGTAGGTATTGTGTCTGAAAAAGTGGAGTTTGGGGGTCGGCCCGGTCTCTATTTCAATTAATCCCATATGTTATGTTGTTCACTTTACGCGTTTCTCACTTTACGCGGGCCGCCGTGGGTTGAATTAACTATTGTATATATATATATATATATATATATATATATATATATATATATATATATATATATATATATATATATATATATATAAATATATGAGGGCATTGTACGTAGATCAGGTTAAGTTAGGTTACGGTAGGTTTTTTCCGTGCCTTTTTTTTACTTTTTTTTCTTGACTTTTTTCCTAGATTCGACTGGAGCACCTGGAGAACACCTGCCACGCTCCCTAGGGTCACTAGGAATCGAACCCTGATAGCAATAGTGAGAGGCAAGAAGTACACAATCATTTGGACAATTCGGTAATTACAGGTAGTTCCGGGACCGGGTGGTATGTGAAATTTTTACCTAAAAAAATTTCTATCCCGGTCCCATACTGCGCAGTCCACAGAAGTTGCAGAACCAGAAAACATACGTTGTGTATCAGAATAGACGCCGCGAGGCCCAACTCTCTGCTCACAATATCGACTTATAAGTGGCGGTAGGTGATTTAAGTTTATTGCTGGTTGATTAAATGATTATAAGGAGGCTATTTCTAGCTCTAACTTGTATTTCCCTCCTTTTTATTGACATTGTTGGGAAAAATGTGCGTCCCATTACCCAGATTGTCGCATATCCTCCTACCAAAGACTGATAAGACTTTGCCTTCAACGCTTTGCTCCATTGTATTGATATTGTTGGGAAAAGGGAGTAGATATTTCACTCGGGTAGAAATTTCACATAATCCGGTAGACCATGCACGGACTGTTATAGTTCTTGAAGCTTCCTTTTTGTACGTACATGTCTTAGCCTTAATTAATTCTGATTAAAGCACCAGGGTTGATTATAATAATACTAACTGTGGAAGGATCACCGTGGTGAAATCTAATTAATAACAGGAGTGGATCCAAGAAGTTTTCGGTGGGGGAACTTGGTGACCACAGCGAGCCCATTTAGCTTTGGGGGATGGGGGGTAGGGTTGTGGGGTACGTGATGTTTGGGTTCACACTCAGGATGGGATGGA